TAATTTAGTTTTGAAACTGAATGAGGAAAAAAATTGAGCTATGTTTAGAGCTGTGACTCAGGGGTAGAATGGTTTGGTATCATGGTTAAGAGCAGAGGACTCTAATCTGGAGAACTGGATTTGACTCCCAATCCTCCACGTGCAGCTGCTGGGTGACTTTGGGTCAGTCACAAGTTCTCTCAGAGCTGTTCTCTTAAGAGCTGTTCTCTCAGAGCTCTCTCAGTCCCACCTACCTCACAGGGTGTCTGTTGTGGGGAGAGGAAGGGAAGGAGATTGTAAGGTGCTCTGAGGCTCCGAGTGAAGGGTGGGGTATAAATCCAATCTCCTCCTCCTCCTCCTCCTCCTCCTTGCATTTCATGCAAAAAGTCCCACGTTCAGTTCTCGGCATCTCCCTTTAAAAGATGTAATGGGTGTTAGGGAAGACCATCATCTGCCTGAAATGCTGAAGAATGGCTGCCACTTTTAAAGTGAGTACCATGCTAGATAGACTATGGTTTAATGGTGGAAAGCAGCTTCATGTGTCAGTCATAAGTTCTTATAGAGCTGTTCTCTTAAGGGCAGTTCTCGAAAGAGCTCTCTCAGCCCCACCTACCTCGTGGTATGACAAAATTACAGGACTATTGCAGAAGCAAGGCTTTGAGCAGGGGAAAGCTGAACCTTGCCTGTACATTAGAATTCTTTTTTCTTGACCCTAGAAGGAAATCACCTGAATACATTAACCAATGATTGTTAGTAAATAGACTCCAGTTTCCGAGTTTTCTCCCCATTGGCTTTGTGCCAAGTTACCTTCTAGGTCAGTCTAAACAATGGCACACAAGGTAAACACATTAACCCTATAATGACTGAATTTAGACCTTGCAACACAGGTATTTCCAACACCTCACAGGGTGTCTGTTGTGGGGAGAGGAAGGGAAGGAGATTGTAAGCCGCTCTGAGACTCCTTCAGGTAGTGAAGGGCAGGGTATAAATCCCATCTCTTCTCTTCTTCTTCTTAATATTCTTTATGGACCAGTTCTCCTCAAAGAACATACAAGGACAGTATACAATCAATCGAAGAGTATAAAAACATGTATCAAATGTTCCCGTCCAAAATCAACACACATGAAAAAAATCCCAATAGAACACATAGCACTGAAAACAAAATAAAGATGGCTAAATAAAAAGGTCTCTTCCTAGCATTGTAAAATATTCTGACCGAGGTCTTCAGAAAGGTGGGGCATTCCAGAACTGGGGAGAAGCCACCAAAAAGGACCTGTCTCTCCAAAGGTTGGGGTAGCGTGAAGAAGAGATTGAGATGTTCTCCTTACAACTTCGGCGTCTGCACTAGGGTTGCCAGCTCTGGGTTGGGAAATCCTTGGAGTTTTGGGGGGTGGAACCTGAGGAGGGCAGGGTTTGGGGAGGGGGGTTTCAATGGGGTATTAATGCCATGTGGTCCACCTACTGAAGCAGCCATTTTCTCCAGGTGAGCTGATTTCTGTTGCCTGGCGATCAGCTTTAACCCCAGATCTATCAGGGCTCTTTTTGTAGAAAAAGCCCAGCAGGAACTCATTAGCATAATAGGCCACACCCAACAGCAGAAACCCATTAGCGTATTAGGCCACACCCATGACAGCACAGCTCGTTAGCACATTAGGCCGCTCCCCCATGTTACCAGAAGTGTGGTCATCCAGCCACACCCACCTTTTGCTTCTTATTCTGTTTACCTTGTTTGTTGTCAAAACCCAGGGCTTTTTTGTAGCAGGAACCCCTTTTCATGTTAGGCCACACACCCCTAATGTAGCCAATCCTAATGAGTTTCTGCTGTTGGGTGTGGCCTATTATGCTAATGAGTTCCTGCTGGGCGTGGCCAACTCGGGAGCCAGCCGGAACTCCGTTCCTGTGCGTTCCTGCCCCAAAATAGCCCTGGCAACTCTAGTCTGTTCAGATTCTGTGCCAGGAGCTTGTATGTTTTGCAGAGTAGCTTAATTGGCCATTCCCCTGGGGACATTTCACAAACAACCTTTGAGGGACTTTGGCTCACTTTCTTCTACTTTCCAGGGATTAAAAAAACCCAAATGTTGAGGAATTTCTGAGAAAACACGCTGCAAATTGCCCTTTGAAAATAAAAAAGCGAAACAAATATTATTTCGTCTTATGCTCGAATAGTCACACTAAATGGAACCGAGAGATCCTCCGCGTCTATGCAAGGCGCTGTTGTGCCATTACGTTTTCATTGGCATTTCCCCTCCAAATCTATATCTCTTTGAATAGTGTTTTGGGTTTTTTAGGAAACTGTCCTGGGAAGTTGGTATGTTAATAGGCAAAGGTGATTTAAGCCCCCTCAGTTGAAAAGAAAAACAGCTGGGGGGTCTGTCCATTGGGTACTCCAGAAACACCGCTAAGCATTTGCACATCAGAGGACTGACAAGGAATGCAGGAAGCCACGCTTAACCTTCCAGGCTTTGCGTTCTGTGGGTACAGCCAGTGCAGTGCCGGATCAAGGAAGGAGAGTCTAAAGGGAGCTCTGTCCAGGGCTGCCAAAGAGAAAGCAGAATCTCTGCACTTCTAGACCTTGAGGTTGGGTGAGTTAACGTTACAATCATGAGAAAGGGATTTAGAAGGCTTCTTCTGGGATGCGGAGACTCTTCAGTCAGCAGAAACAAACAAGCAATGCAAGGTAGAACGTTTTACTAAAATATCTGGGAAGAATTGGTGGAGAGGTATTATTATTATTATTATTCATTTCTGTTAGTGTTATAAGGGTTAGAAAGACAGAAAGAATCAGGAGCATGAGCTTTAAAAAGTGCTCTGGCATGGCCCATCAGAGGAAACAGAGTAGAGACCTGGAACAAAACAACCCACAGTTCACTAGGGATGGGAAATGGAAGGAACGAAGAATATCGAACCGCTTAGAAGGAAATGGACTCTCCTTTTTTTTCCTCCCCACTAACGAAAGGGAAGTTACTGGAGCATGCAGGCCCAGACAGCTGAAGAAACTGGGGTATTATTATTATTTTTTGTTCGGTTTGTTCGTTTGCAAAGGATTAGGCAGGACAGTGACGGCTTTTAACCTTTATGGACGTCAAATCCTAAGTGGAGAGGCTGAACTTGTAACTTTTGCATGGCCGATTCTTATTTGGAGGCTCCACCATTTCTCTTGGAGGCCCCCCGGCTGTGAGAAAGACAAGTGTTAGGACTGCTAACCTCTGATCTTGAAGGATGCTTTGAACTTTAAGTACTGGCAAGGCAGGGAGATGGCCCGGATCCATAAGTTCTCCCGTCCCTGCAATAGTGGGAGGGGAAAGACTGCGCTTTCTGACAGGTGCGGAGAAAGGAGCAAAAAGAACCCGTCTTTGCCTTTGTCTGGATGGGAGAGATGGAATTATTATAATGTTTTATCGTGTCCTAACCTAGTTTTTAATTCTTCTGGTTTTAGAAGTTTATACAGATGTTATTGTTATATTGTTCTGTCATTGTAACGGCCTATGGCTAAAGGCAGTAAACTGGAACCTGATCCTTTGTAGCTGGGATCAGACCCAGGGCTGTTGTGTATTCCAACAGCAAACGTTTGGCCCCAACTATGGATATCTCATTCTGTGGACTGGGGCCACACAGAAAGAAGACATAGTTCCATAAACTCGGGGGACCCCTGAGTCTGCAGAAAAACTTGAAACTAGAAAAATAAATAAATGGGGGGGTTTAATCACCCCCCCCAGACCTCCTCCTTCTCTGTTGTGGGTCTGGGAAAGGGGAGGAAGCCTAGCTGGACCCAGCAGGAGTGATGGGGGGACTTCATCAGCCCCTCCGGGAGCCACACCAGGTTCGCTGCTGAGGATGGCAATGTGGGACAGTAAAAGAAGCTGCATCAGCCCTGCAGTGGTGGTGTTGGTGAGGGGTGATTGGGACCTGCAGTGGCAAGGTAGAAGAAGGCTAGGGGGGGGGGGAAGGTATTCCTCCTTGCAAGTATCGCGGGTCCCCACTTTTCTGGTCTAATATTCTCTTTCCAAAAGCAACCATTCAGATGGTGCTGAAAGCAGAGCAGACAGCTTCTACCTTCCTCTGTTATTTTTCCTCAGCAGCTGGAACTCAGAGGTTCCTCAGAACAAGTTCCATTTAGCAAACTTTCTTCGTAGCAATTGACCGACCTATCTTCCATGAATTTATCTACATTAAAGCCATCTAAGCCATCACTTAATCTCTGGGTCGTAATTTCTGCAAGTTCCACATTGTAAGAAGAGCTCTCTCAGCCCCGCCTACCTCACAGGGTGTCTGTTGTGGGGAGGGGGAGGGAATGGAGATTGTAGGCCACTCTGAGACTCCTCTGGGTAGTGAAGAATCCAATCTATTCCTCTTCTATCTGTCCTAAGCCTACAGAAGGTCAGTGTCTCTGGGCAACTCCAAGATCAAGATCAAGTATATAGATGATCAAGAATAGTTTCTCCATTCATTTTCTCCACCTCCCCAACTGTTGTTAGTGCATGATTATTGGACACGATGTGAAATAATAGAAGTCTATGCAAAATACCACTAGCTATAGGGAGTTAGGAATCACAGGTCCAAGTTAAGACAGAGGTATGGGTAAATAGTCTGGAACTTGTTAATGAATTCTAATTCAGCCTTTTCATGGTGGATTCTCCCTTTGAAGTGCCGTTGCCTGAGAACAGTAACTTTTAGATCAGAGATAGAATGCCCTGGAAGATATTTGCTGGTTTCTGAATATTGCGATTTTTAATGTCAGATTTGTGCCCATTAATTGTTTTGCAGAGAGACCTGTTTCTCGAACACAGAGAGTAGTAGGGCATTGTTGACACAGAATGGCAAATAGTCCATTGGAGGATTACCAAATGCCTTAGCTGTACCGCATCAGGACTATGCCCCTAACAGTTTCATTTGATGGTTTCTCTATGTTCTTTCATCCAGAGGTCTATCAGAGTTGGAGATGAGGGGAAATGTCCCTGCGCCTGCCGCTTCCCACGCCAACCTTAACCATTACTCGCTGAAACTATCTTCTCCCCATTTAGGTATCCCTCCAGCCAGCGGCACTGGCACACTGCAGATTTACCTAATTGACATCAACGATAACGCTCCTGAGCTCCTGCCAAAGGATGCACAGATCTGTGAAAAGCCAGGCCTGAATGTCATCAACATCACAGCCGCTGACGCTGACATTGATCCAAACGTTGGCCCCTTTGTCTTTGAGCTGCCAAGTGTGCCATCTGCCATCAGGAAGAACTGGACCATTACGCGGCTAAACGGTAAACTGGGCAGGCAACACCGATGGCGTTTGGAACTTGGCTCACTCGTGGGCACCGGGGGGATCGGCCTTCAAACTTTCTAACTTCCTTTTGTTTTTTCCCACCGCCCCCCTCAGTCCCACATATTTCAAAGCCCACATTCTGGGTGACATTATAAGCAAGATGGCTAATGAGAAATGGCATGGATCTGGACTTGAGCAGGACTCGTCCTCGTTTTCATTGGTGCTCTGGCTCCCCAGCCCTCTAGGCTTTAATGCAGTTCATAATTACGCACAGTTATCAGGACCGAATTGGGGATAAATCATCTGTAATAGCCCGGGGGGGAAGCTATTATCAGTCTTCCTTATGTTCCATTTTTATTGTCACGAGCCACAATCAGGATCAATGATCATTCCTCCAGCTCTAATTGCATAAAAAGTCACTGTCCTTTTCTACTTTAATATAGAAACAGAGTTAAAAGTTGGGGTAGTGGGAAGATTACTAGGACAGTAGGGGGGTGGAGAAGAGTGTCGGAACCACAATCAGCTGTAATAGGGCTCTTAAGCAGTGACTTCCTTATCACAGAACCTGGCCTATGGCATCTTAACCATGAGGTCTACCCACCTTGGAGAACCAGTTTGGCGTAGTGGTTAGGAGCACAGACTCTTATCTGGGAGAACAAACACAATATTGCTGAACAAGTTCATAATATAATATATAAGACAATACAAATGCTGTTATAATTATTATTTTGTTTCCACAGACGGATACATCAAGAGACTAAAGTCTCAATGCAGGCAGGACGAACCTTCCCAGGCTTGACTGTCCGTTTCGACCTTTCGTCTTTATCAAACGTCAGTTTGTAGAAGTCTGTCTTGAAAGGTCTTGTTGCACACATTTCAATGCATTATCCTGAATGGAATTGTTTACTATGAGAGCTTGAAGTAGCCACCTTTGAAACTTTGCACATATTGTTGAAAATCATGTATTGAAGACAGACTTCTACAAACTGACGTTTGATAAAGACGAAAGGTCGAAACGGACAGTCAAGCCTGGGAAGGTTCGTCCTGCCTGCATTGAGACTTTAGTCTCTTGATGTATCCATCTGTGGAAACAAAATAATAATTATAACAGCATTTGTATTGTCTTATATATTATATTATGAACTTGTTCAGCAATATTGTGTTTGTTCTTGCCATCTGAAATTGCTGGGTTCTACTCTTTCAGTTGTATCTTATCTGGGAGAACCAGATTTGATTCCTTGCTCCTCCACATGCAGCTGCTGGTGTGACCTTGGGTCAGTCATAAGTTCTTTCAGAGCTGTTCTCTCAAGGGCAGTTCTCTCAAGAGCTCTCTCAGCCCCACCTCCCTCACAGTGGTCTTTTGTACGCACTCATTGGGAAGTAACTCCGGTTGAACAAAATGAGATTCACATTCATAGGACCAGGTCGTTACTTTCTCTAGGTTGAGGTTGTCGAACTAGGGGTGCCAGCCTCCTGGTGGGACCTGGGGATCCTGCAGAATCACAGCTCACCTCCAGACTACAGAGATCAATTCCCCTGGGGAAAATGGATGCTTTGGAGGGTGGACTCTAATGCATTGTACCCCAGTGAGGTCCTTGACCTCTCCAGGCTCCACCCCCAAATCTCCAGGTGTTTCCCAACCTGGATCTAGCAATCCTAACCCCTATCCCCCTCTGGTGGTCATGGGGGACCTGGCAACCCTATGTCCAGCTCCCCTACTGTGGGATTTCTTCCACTGCTGAATGGCTCTTACCCTAAGGAAATCTCCTCCTGATGTTCAGCTGAAATCTCCTCTCCTTAAGGTCATTAGATCTTGCCTTCCCCCCCTGGAGGAGCAGAGAAAGAGTCTTAACCATCTCTCATGACAGACATTTCACAGGATTTGAATAGCATGATCATGGCTCTTCTTGGTCTTCTCCAAAACATAAGCAGCTCCCTCAGCTTTCCTTAAAGGGCTAGTTTCCAGGCCTGCCGTCCATTTTCATTGCCCTCCTCTGGAACCAGAACAAAACCCGCCTTTTGTCTATGGACACACTATTAAGGGTGCCATCAGTGACTTACTGCTTTCCATGTTGCTCCCTTACAGGTGACTATGCCCAACTCAGCTTACGGATCATGTACTTGGAAGCCGGCGTGTACGACGTCCCGATCATTGTGACAGATTCCGGGAACCCTCCTCTGTTTAACATGTCCGTTATTAAAGTCAAGGTGTGCCCGTGTGACGAGAATGGAGACTGTACTATCATCGGAGCTGTCGCGGCAGCCGGCCTGGGAACTGGAGCCATCATTGCCATCTTGATATGTATCATCATTTTACTAAGTAAGTATGGCGGGTGGCAAGTGGTCCCAACATGAGGTCCTCAAGGTGTTCTCCTTCTGGGTGAATCAATCACAAGTCCTGCAGATTTCAGGATTTGTCAGGAACAAGGAGCTGCCTTCTCAGTCACAAATCAAAAGTCATTCGGCTGCTACTAGAAGTGGGAACCCTATGATCTGTTTGTTTTCTGCTTGCTTAGGACTGTTTGGTCATCCTCAGCTTGACTGCAGGCCAGAGGCAGAGAGAGAGGGAGGGAGGGAGAGATATCTGAAGCTAACAGGGTTGGGCATGATCAGTACTTGGATGGGAGACCACCAAGGAAGACGTGGGTTGCTATGCAGAGGAAGGCAATAGCAACCTACCTCAGCTCATCTCTTGCCTTGAACTCCCCATGAGAGGTCACAGTTGGTCCTTTTTGCACTAGATCTTAAATCCTGGTTCAACCCTGTCTCTGAACTTACATTCTACACTACACGCAAGTTCACCCCTGTAATTATCTCGGGGTGGTTTTTTTCCCCCACATTACATTGAGGTCACCCCAGTTTCACCCCACACTTGTCCCGGGATAAACGGATGCTGTTATAACCAGGGATAAATGCAAAGTATTGTGTCGCGAGTTGAACTCTGATAAAACCAGGGATGAGATCTAAGTGCAGAAAGGACCGGTGGGTGGGTGGATGGATAGATGGATGGATGGATGGATGGATGGATGGATGGATGGATGGATAGATGGATGGATAGATGATGGATGGATGGATGGATGGATGGATGGATGATAGGTCGGTAGGTAGTTAGGTAGGACAAACACAAAAATAAGCATAAATTCAAATAATTAAAACAGAATTTAGCACAGGAAAAAGTTGTGGATATAAGCCAATAAACAAGACTATTAAAGTATTGCTAAGCAAATCATGCCAAATGTAACACAGAGCGTAGAACTATAACTTGAATTTAAGACTGGGGGAGGGCTTGCATCAAAGCACTTGACATTTTCAATTAACTAGCAAAGCTATCTGCTCACTTTTGAAGTAGATCCAACACTATCAGGACTTTCATTAACATATAAGTTACCTTCATAACACAGTAGGCAGATGTAAGAATGAAGAACAACGTATCTTAAAATGTATGTTTCAAAAAAAGCAACAATACCTTTACCTTGATATTTCCAATAATGTTAATGGGATGTTGTGCTAAGTCACCCTTAATGTGTGCCACAAATGTTCTTAATTGATCCATTAATTAAAACATTTAAAGGTAGCACATAGCGTAATAGCTGGCAATTGTACACATATCCCCCAGCAGTGATGTTTTTAAACGCAGTCCAAGGTCTACCTGGGGCTTGCAATTGCCTTTCTCATGGATATTCTGAAGGCCTTTTAGCAAAAGCAATGATAGAAGACGCTGCATTCAAAGAAGGCTTACTTGCTTTGGCTGGCAGGCACCCTAGTGACACAGAATGTTCACAAACATCACAACTCCTGCCTGCTATTCAGTTTTAATTCCCCTTTCCCTTTTAATACAGAAGCTGACCAACCCACTTTACCATATGGTGGCTCTGACATAAGAAACTGGGGTTATCCATAATGGACAAAGGGCCCCAGTGGCTCCGAGGTTAAGACACTGAGCTGCAGACCGGAAGGTCAGTAGCTCAGCAGTTCGAGACCCGAGTGTGCTGCATGACGGACTGAGCTCCCGTCTCTGGCCCCAGCTCCTGCCAACCTAGCGGTTCAAAAGCAAGGAGGAGGAGGAGATTGGATTTATACCCCGCCCTTCACTTGGAGTCTCAGAGCGGTTTACAAACTCCTTTCCCTTCCCCTCCCCACAACAGACACCCTGTGAGGTGGGTGGGGCTGAGAGAGCTCTGACACAAACTGCTCTTTTTCAAGGAGAGCTGTGCCAGAGCTTGTGACTGACCCAAGGTCACATCAGCAGGTGCAAGTGGAGGAGAGGGGAATCAAACCCGGTTCTTCCAGATTAGAGTCCGCACATTTAACCACTACACCAAACTGGTAGGTAAATAGGCATCACTGTGGTGTGAAGGTAACAGCGTTCCGTGTGCCTTGGCATTTAGTCATGCCGGCCACATGACCACGGAAAAGTCTTCGGACAGCACTGGTTCTTCGGATTGGAAATGGAGATGAGCGCCACCCCCTTGAGTCGTATTCAACGGGCTTTCGAGCAAGGGAAACCTTTACCTTTAGGACAAAATCAGAACACCAGTTCATAATAGCACAAAGTATTTATGTATGTCAGGATGATGCTGTAAAGTGGAATCCCCAACATTTCGAAGGCACAATTTCTTTCACATGTCCGAAGAGATCTGTGGAAGAGCAGGACGACCTCGGGGCTTGTATCATACCGTCAATTTCCAACGGCAGAAGGGCCTTTTCATCGTTAGAGGAGCGAAGGTGATTTCCACTCATTCCTCTCTGCCTTGGCAGACCCCCACTTTTCCTCCTGTGCTCCCCCCCCCCCAGGAACAAACTGTCAGGTGGTTCAGTGGGCGGAAGTGAGAGTTAGAGGTGGGCGGAATCTCACTCCCCGAGCTGTGCTCCACTTGCGAATCACAGAGGATTTAAGACCATGTCATGGACAACACACCCTAACCTCGATAGTCCAGGCTAGCCTGATCTTGTCAGATCCTGGAAGCTGAGAGTTGGTCCTGGTTAGTATTTAGATGGGAGACCTCCAAGGGATACCAGAGTCGTGAGGCAGAGGCAGGCAGTGGCCAACCACCTCTGAGTGTCTCTTGCCCTGAAAACCTTACGGGGGTCACCATAAGTCAGCTGTGAGCTGATGGACAACACACCCTGATCTGGATGGCCCAGGCTAGCTTGATCTCTGCAGATCTCAGAAGCTAAGTAGGGTCGGCCCTGGTTAACTTTTGGATGGGAGACCACCAAGGAAGTCCAGGGTGCTACACACAGCCCGACAATGGCAAACCACTTCCATTTGTCTCTTGCCTTGCCTTGAAAACCCTACGGGGTCCCTATAAGTCGTCTGTGACTCGATGGCACTTTCCACCACTGCCAATGGACAACACTGGGGTGCCACCAAAGCCAGCCTCACCCCCGGTGGCTAATCCTTTCCGCCTTCCTCCAGGAAGGTGCAGGAATCCTTATCTATGTCACATTACCATCACAATATGCATTTTTCTGCCCGGACCTGGGTATCCCAGGCTATCCTGATCTCATCTGATCTCAGAAGCTAAGCAGGGTCGGTCCTGGCTAGTATTTGGACGGGAGACCTCCAAGGAATGCCAGGGGCATGACACAGAGGCAGGCAATGGCCAACCACCTCTGAACATCTCTTGCCTTGAAAACCCTACGGGATCGCCGTAAGTCGGCTGCAACTTGATGTCGCTTTCCACCCCCACCGATAGACCACAGTGGGGTGCCACCAAAACCAGCCACCCCCACAGGCTAATTCTTTCCTCCCTTCTCCGGCAATTTGCAAGAATCCTTAGCTGGGTCACACTGCTGTCAAGTTATGCGTTTCCCTGACACTGTCAACGGCAGCAAGTTAGATGGAAGCGGACAGAGAAAGTCACAATATGAAAACGTTTCAAGACAGCCAAATTATTGCCTCCACATTACGGGTGTGGGGGTCGGAACAGATAAGAATAATTTAAACTAGAAGGCCATTTTTGGCAGCATCCCTACATCAACTATAATGTGTAGTTCCCCGCGAGAATGACCACATCTTGAAGGATAGAAAAAAATCCCTGGGATGACCACACAACCGTCTCCAATTACACATGCAAAATGAGGAGTTACATTCTCACCGCGAATTTGGAACCCGCGCATGTTAATTTTTACAGCGAGGTGACGGTAATGAGCTATAAGTACACATCTGCTTTCTAAGATTGTTGAACATAATAAAGCTTCTTAATGCCAATTTTTAGTATTTTACATAGTAAAAAAAATGGCATTGGAAGTAACGGGAGCAATAAAGCAGAAGATGTCTTTTTTTCTTTCCCCCACTTTTTTCTGCTCTGCATATAAATCAAAGTCTAAAGTATGATTTAAACACTCGAGAAAATTCTGTTGACTGAAATTAACTGCCGTCGAAAGACATTTGATTTAGGAGAATCCTGGTTTTTTCCATTTTCAAATCCATTATCCTGTTCTAAATTATGGGTTTTATTACAAACGCGTATTTTTTACATTCATTGTCATTCTAATTGACTTTTTTTAATGTTCAGCAGATAACCTAGGCTTATTTCACTTGTGAAAAATGGAATTTGGGATAGGAAGACCTTTTCCACTTAGGTTGTCACTTTGATTTTTTTGGGAAGTTTTGTTTTGTTAAAAAAAAACTTCATTCGAACAAAAGCTAGGGGTGGGCTCTGTCACCCACCGTGCTAATTCAAGGTGTTTTGTCGGCCTAAGCAAGGCACCCTCATTGCTTCCCCATGCTGCCTCCAAGCCAAGCGTGGCAGAGGAAAGGCTGCGGCTTAGGGGAAGAGCATCTGCTTGGCACGCAGAAGGTCCCAGGTTCAATCCCCACCATCCCCAGTTAAAGGATCTGTCAGTAGGTGAGCCACTGCCAGTCTGAGTAGACAATACTGACTTGGATGGATGAATGGTCTGACCCTGTATAAGGCAGCTTCATGTATTGACATGGCCAGGGGCTTGGTGGATGATAGTGTGGGTCCACCGGCCAGCAACGGGGCTTATTCAGGAGCCAGGTGCTGTTGCTCCTTGGGCCTTGTGTAGTGGGTTAGACGCATGTAGAAACCACAGAGACGGATGTAATGATCAGCATGGTTTACTGGTACACAACTAGAACACAGAATGCCAGCCGGGTGGCCAACTATATATAGTACCTGGGAACCCCTCTCGATCCTATTGGTGGGTTTAAACCTCCTGCCAAAGTCCCCATTGGTTCCCCAAAGAAAATCCAGGAGCCTAGTCCCTATTGTTCCTAGGGAGTTAAGCTCAGCAGTGAGTCGCTGTCGCCTAGTGGCAGGCAGCGGACATAACAGCCACTGATGGCTATGA